CTGTTACTTAAAGCAGCGTGCCCACGCTGGGGAGTGATGCCATAGTTACTGGGTGGCTCCTGAACACTCGTTGGCCCGATTTCTGGCAGGGTTGTGGTGGTGGGAGGCTGCGGGGCGCAGTGCCTCGGTGTGGGCTGGCTCTGGGGAGTTGTACATCACTGGGAAATGCTCCACAGGAAGTGGTGCCTGTCAGTCAGACGTGTCTGTAATAGGGAACAGCTTTAGAAACTGAATCTGTTACCCAGTTCAGGCATATATAAGTTAAAAGCAAAGTCCCGTTTGAAGTCTGCTGAGGAGCAAAAGACTCTTGTCTGTGGTTTACAGGAAGGTGTTATTCTGGGGTGCTGTGCAAAAGCAGGGCCTTATTGGGGGTGTTATGTGTGTTGCTTTTTTTTTTTTTGTAGGTTTGATTTGGTTTGGGGTTTTTTTGCAGCGAGATAAATCTTGGAAAGTTTCATACTTCCCCTGAAACATTTGATTGTACGCTGTCAAAGTTCTCCTAGTGATGTGAATTACAGTTGTGTATGGTGAAGTAGAAGCTGAACCTTTCAGTCACTGGTGTGTGTTGTCTCCAACAGGCACATAGCATCCTTTCTGTCTGTCTTCAAACTAGTATTAATTGGCTTAATCATCGTTGGCAAGGACCCATTTGCTTTCTTTGGCATGCAAGCTCCAAGCATCTGGCAGTGGGGCCAGGAAAACAAGGTAAAGGACATACTTCTTTTAGTCTGAAAAAGCAGCTTCAGAGTTACTTCATGAGGGTGCTCTGTGAGTCCCTCAGTTATGACTGATTCACCTTTCACATGCTGCAGCCCTATGGTAGAATAATTCTTACCAGTTGTGCTTTATGCTTGTGACAAACCCAGGTGCGCTTCTGTGATCTCTTTCCAAGTTGCTGCTACTGCAGAGGGGCAGCTGAGGTTAATGTGCTGACAAAGATGATTAAAGAGTTCTCTATTTTTTAGGGCTCAAGAAGAGCATTTCAAGCCAGTATTGTTGATGTTAAAATTACAGTTTCCCTTCTCTGTTGTCTTATAACAGTTTTGCAGTTGATGCTTCCATCAGACTCCTGATAGATTAGGCAGCAATTAGAAGGGTGTTAGAAAAATGAAGTTGAAATGTTGTGGGTGTTTTTGGAAAGCAGACTGGCATGACATTGTGGGAAAATATCCCCATGCGTCAGTAGTGATGATGCCAGTAGATTCAGGGTGTTGTACTCTGATTTAGAGTAACCTTGTTCCAGATATATTCCACTAAACTAAGGTAATTTACAGACCTTCATGCTGAGCTGCCCAGGGCCCTGGGTCTTTCACTGGCCAGTTTGCATGCCCAGAAGCTGTAATATTTCCAGTTGAATTAAATGGGCCAACTCGGTGCCTGGCTGGGCTGGCTGCGGTGCGTGGCTGCTGTCCCTGTGCCAGCTTCTGTGGTGTTGCAGTGACTTGTGTGAGTGTGCCTGTGAGCAGGAAATTAGAGAGGTGCTGGCGGTGAGGGAGGAGCTGCACTGCTGAAGATGCTGTCCTTTCCTCCTTGGTCACCCATGCGCAGAGAAAATTGAGGTGTAGAGCTGGGAGGTGTGCAGGAGGGCCAGTGGTTCCTGTGCACGTGACTTGCCTTGCTCTGCCGTCTGTGGCTGGGCCCTTGGCTCTGGAGGTTGCTGTGACAGTGACAGGCTGTGTCTGGAGCGGTTGAGTTCCCATGTCACGCTGCCAGCCCCCCTGCAGCTGGCTGTGCTGGTCCAGAGGTGTGCGGAGGGCTGCGAGTTGGGTGGGCTTGGAGCTGCTTTGGTGCTTCTCTGGGGAAGGCAAGGTGCACAGTCTGTGTCAGAGGAGGAAGGGGAGGTGTCTGTAGATGGGAACATTCCTTGGGCAATCACAGAGGGAGTTCAGAGGCACCTGTGAACAACAGCAGGTGTGCCTGACATGCCTGAGGTCTGTGTGGATCTTTGTTCCCTTCCAGGTGTACGCCTGCATGATGGTCTTCTTCCTGAGCAACATGATTGAAAACCAGTGTATGTCCACTGGGGCTTTTGAAATCACTTTGAATGGTGAGCTGAGACTTTGTTTGAGGGGTGTCACATATACACATGTGAGAGATGTGGGGTGGGGACAATGAGGGATGGAAAATTTATGTCCCAAATGTGATATGTGGAAATTGCCATCCAGTTGGATCTTTAGAAGTTGCCTATCAGAATAAATAATGAAAATCATTGAAATCTTATAAAGCAATTTATACAGATGTCAGATACTCTAGAACAGCTCTGTAAAAACTTACTCAGAGGGATATTTGGTGACTTGGAATAACTGTGTTATATTCTTTCTTTGTGTGTGATGTGCATTAAATAAGAAGCCATCAGCTAGAGGCATGTACTCTCCAATTAGATGCTTTCCCTGTCTGTTCTGCAGCATGCTTTAGCTTTGGAATCCTAAAGAATCCATTTCTATTACCAGATTCTCAGTACTGAAGGACAGCAGTACTGATTTTTCAGGTAGAGAGGAATGTCAGTGGGTATTTTGCAGCTCTCCATCAGTATGATACACTTCTAAATGGAAGCGTTAGACACTCTGCTCTCCTAGTTGGGCTGGGGTTCAGCATAGCCAGAGGTGGGAAGCATTGTTGATTCAGATACTTTCCTCAACACCAACTCAGTTTCCTAGAGCTTCTCAATTCCATGTTTCCACCAGCTCTGCCTGTTTTTGATGCTCCCAGTGTAACAGTGCTTCTCTCCCGTGTGTGTTCTGCACTAGATGTCCCAGTGTGGTCTAAGCTGGAGTCTGGCCACCTCCCTTCCATGCAGCAGCTTGTACAGATCCTTGATAACGAGATGAAGCTCAATGTGCACATGGAGTCAATGCCCCATCATCGATCATAGCCCCATCGATCAGCACTGAAACTTCTCGTAAGTCTCCTCCAGTCACCAGTGTGTTTGCCCAGGTAAGATGGGCACACTGGAGACTGGATTTTAGGATGGTGTGTTTGTTCAGTTAAATATTTTTTCTGGAGAACAGCTCCCATGATGTTAAACTGCCACATGTGGTGCCACATGTTGGGTGGGAGGTTTTGGGATGTGGCTCATTCTGCCTGTCTCAGAGCAGGAAGCTGGCATTCCATGAGGCAGGAGAATGTGTGTTACAGCAGGGAGAAGGCCTAATGTCAGTGAAGTGTGTGTGCAGAGATCAGAAACACTGCTTTTGTGCATTAGAATAGCATCTGTCCAGGGACTTAAGGTCTCCCTGGCTTTTAACCCAGTTGAATTCCAGAGCCTTGGGGAACAGGATGCTGTCTATTCCTTGCTTAATCCTGGAGAGCAGAGCACTGTCATGCTCTGGGGTACTGCCCTGCTCCTCTGCAAAAGCCCCACGGCTTCTGGTAGCATGGAGTTCACATCTGTAGGTATTGTGTGACAAAGCACTTCCACGTCCCCGTGTCACCTGTGGCTTAGCACAGCTTACGAGTCCCCATCTTGGGCTGGCTCGGTGCAGGGTGCTGCTGTGGTGCAGGGCTGGTGCTGGCTGTAACCCAGGTGTCTCTCCACAGGCATTGGGTGGTGGTTCCCGGGCCACGTGGCGCAGACCCATGAAGGCCTGCACTGAAGACAGCTGCTGTTGGTGCAGGCTGGATGCCTCTCTTGCAGCCACGTTGTGCCTCCTGGACAAACACTCAATGAGCCCTGTTTCAGTGCTGGCCGGTCCACACTGCACAGCCACGAGTGCAATAATACTGTATAGTTTTTTTAAGACTTCATTCGACCAGTTCATAGATCAGCAATGCAGGCATTACTAATGGTAACTTATTTTATATTCATGTTTCACACTATGGCAGATTGAGTTGATACCTAATTTTTCCTTGAAAAAAAGAGAAGTTTGTTTAATCTGTTGTATTTTATATGAATTTATGTTCTTTTTGTAGTTTAAAATGAAGTTATAGGAGTGTCTGATATTGTCCTAAACTGTTGAGTAATTGATAGCTGTCTATCAAATCTCTTTAATGTGGTTAAAACAGGTTTGTATATTTTTCAAAATCTATGGCAGAGTCGAACAGTGCATTATATACTGAATTATATAAGCAAAATTGTATGCGGAATTGTTACATCACTTGGTGACTTCAGTGAAAATTAAGATCAGCTGCTCTTTAATCATGTGGACCAGCTCCAGCAGTTCTTCCTTGGCCATTTGAGAGATGAGCTGGGCCTTCCTGCTGTCCTGAATAGAACCCAAGAACATTAATTGAAATAAAGAGTTCCCATTTCCTGTGTGAAGTACCTTGTTTGTCACCGATGGACATTCTTGGAATTGAAAAATGCATAAAAAACCAACTTTCCAAAGTTACTGACCTTGTATTTGTCATGTGTAAGCCCCTAAGAACCCCGAGTGTGAGGAAAGGCACATGGGGCTTGGTCTGATCCTTCAGGACCTGCTGCAGTTCAGGTGTGGCGTCCCTGGGGGAAGCTGGCCAGGTGCATCCCTAGTTTCAAAGGCAGCTCTGCGAGGCTGGGAGGTTCCTCACTGCTGACTGCAGCACCACGGGCCTCTGAACACCCACTGACAGCTCTGTTTGCAGTGCTTGAACCAGAGCCCAGCCCAGGCTGCAGCTGGTGCTCCCTGAGCCAAGCATAGGTGATTGCTTTGGGCACTCTGAGGGCATTTGTTGCTCTCTGTGCAGGGAACCACCTTGTCTTGTACCTGCAACCGGCTGAGCTGCCGTGGGCCTGGGTACCAGGAACACTTGGGGCTTCCTGCTGATGCCACCTTCTTGTCAGGCGTGGCAGAGCAGTACACCTGCCTGTGGGGTACAAACCTGTACACCAGGTTTGAGCAAACGCCTGCCTGTGCAGCTGTCCCAGGCCCTGGCCCGGGTGTGCCCTTTGTGCCTTACCCGAGGGCTGAAGGCAGGAGGAGCCTGCTCAGGAGCAGTGCGCTGCTGCGGAGCACGGCACACGGCACTGCTGTGCCTGAGCAAAGCCCTCTCGTGCCTCCGTGACCAAGGTGTCACTGCGGGCTGGTAGCGCCTGCCCTGATCCCATCTGGGGCTGTGCGGATCAGCCCTGGACTGCCCTTTCCTCTGCACCGGGGCAGGCAGGGCCGGAGGAGAAACCTTGCTGAGCACTTGCAGGTGCCACAGCATCAGGGACTGTCTGGCTCATTTTACCTTACACCACACACACACTGGTTAGAGTTCCTGGGCGTTTACTATTGCCTTGATGGAGCTGCGCAGCTCGTCACTTATGTCAGCAGCCATGCAGAGCTCCAGGATCTTCAGAGCCTGGGTGATGAGGTACATGGGAGGCTGCATTTTGTTCCACTGCTCATTGGAAGGGAAGTTGAGGCATCCCCGCATCCTTTCGAAGAGCTGCAGGATCCTCACGCGGAAGGCAAGCAGCAGGAGCTCATCCTCACCCAGCGGGGCTGGAGGAGGCAGCTGGCTGCTGGTGCTGACCTGCAGAACAGAGGACACGTCAGCAGAGCCACCCGAGCTGGGGACGGGGCTTCTGTCCCCAGCAGACAAACCTGCCCCTGTGACAGGAGCCTGCAGAGGAAAGGAGCTGCCGTGCACCCTGCCCACATGGCTCACAGCTCTTCTCCCTGTGGCAGAGCCACGGTGACCTTGGGGATGTTGCCAGGGACCTGCCTGGGAGTGGAGTCCCACACTGTGGCTCCTTGCAGCGAGCTGGGGCTGGCAAGTGCCCCATCTCCATAAGAGTGGCAGGAATACATGCATCTCCACAGCTTTCTTTTTGGGGATGGAGCATGGGACAACATAGGGTGCATCCACCACAGGATAAGCACAGAGGAGAGCTCCCCTGACTGCCCCACTCCCGCTGTGGGGAGTGGCTCAGCACAGGAACAATTACCTGCACTTTGGTTCCCATGTTGAGTTTTGCTTGTCGCCCCATGGCAAGGAAGGAGATGAAGATCTTGTCCTGGGCCAGGATCCTGACCCCCACGTGGCGGTTCAGGGAGATGAAAATGGGGCTCAGTGGCACCTGGGGTCCTGGTGACAAGTTCGGCCACATCCACCTTCTCACCCTGTTGCCTGCTTGGTCCAAATACTGCCCACCCTGGATACTCATATTTATCCTAAAGAAGGGGAAATGGAAGCTCTGAACCCTGTAAGCTCCTGTGGCAGAAGCTCTCTTATTCCCCTGAGGGATGGGACAGAGGCACGGCAGGGACAGGGTCTGTCCCCCACCTCTCAAGGCACAGCTGGGTTGCCTTGCTGCTCTGGGGGCACCCAAAGCACGGCCTATGAGCTGCTGAATTTGTCTATTTTTGAATAGGCTAAAATAAGGCTAAAAATAGCCTTTATGGCCTTTGAAATGTCAGTGCACAGAGGAGACAGCAAAGCTGCTGAACGCACCACTCATCTCCAGTCGGGTAATAGCACGTGCTCCTGCCATCAGACTGAAACAGTGCTCGGATTTTGAGTGTCCTCCGCTCGTCCTCCTGTACTATGCACATCAGCTGGTCTCTGGCTTGTGTAATGATGATGGCCAGGTTTCCAGATGGATAGCTGCTGCTAGGTAAGGTGTCTGTAACCCCCTGCTTTGCTTGGTTGATCTGTTATTACACACTAAATACTTCTGGGTACTACTCTGGGGTGTAAAATATATATATATATATAAAATATATATATATATATAATCTGATTTATATAATCTGATATATAATCTGATATATTACCCAGAGCACTGTGTTAAAGGTGTGCTTCTTCCTTGGGCTGGGTCTTGGAAGCTAGAGCTCATTGGAGCTGCTGGCTGTTCTTGGAAACCTCAGCCCAGGAGCTGTGTCAAGATTCACTTCTGCTGCTCCTCAGAGCGAGTGGGAGCGATGAGCTGGGTTGTAATAAAGTGGACCCTGACACACTTAAAATTAGTAACAGCCCTGGACTAAGGCAGGCAAGTGAACCTGTAAAGGATACAATAACTGCAAGGTTCCGTCTGGGAGCATGGTAAGGAATTTCTTTCCATTTTTGTAGTACTTCTGCACCAATTTACCCTTCCCCACCTAAGAATGGAAGGATAAAACGGATGAGAGCAGTCTGGCACAGCTGCCCTGTGAAAATGGGCCTGCCAGGGTCTGACAGCTCGGAGCGCTGACACATCCGAGGTGCTCCCGTCGCTGTCGGCCGCAGGTACCTGCCTTTTTCCCCAGAAGACTGAAGTCGTAGCCGAGGACGCTGCGGGACATGGGTTTCTTGTCCCGCTTGAGCTTTTTCTCAGGCTGGGGCTCCTCTTCAGGCTGGGACTCGGGCTCAGACCCAGGCTCCTTCTCCAGCTCGGGCTCTTCCTCGGGCTGAAGCTCCGGCTCGGGCTCCTCGGGCCGGGGCTCCAGCTCGGGCTCCTCCTTGGGCTGGGGTTCCAGTTCAGGCTGCTCCTCGGGCCAGGACTCGGGCGTGGGCTTCTCCTTGGGCCGGAGCTCGGGCTCAGAAAGGTACTCGGGCTCGGCTGCACTTGCAACAGGCACTGGTGACCCGGCTTTGGGAGATGGGAGTTCCTGGGAAGGCTCGTAGGAAAGGGGTCCAGCTTGCTGTGACTCTGCAGAGCACAGGGAGGACTTCTGTGCAGCAGTGAGGGTTGGCAGTGCCCACCGTGGGGCCGCCCGATACCTCTGCTGTAACTGGGGGAGTTCCTGGCTCAAACACTCCATCCTGACAGTCTGTCTCGGGGTGTTTTCTAACAAGGGCAGTCCAAAGTGCTCAGCTATTTCAGAGCACAGGATTATGATAAAATATTGCATTTTTTTCAATTACGTATATACACACATCTGTGTAAAGAACAACTTTTTGGGATAACATTTGACTCCACACACTGGAACTGACCATTTGAGATCCCAGTGCTGCAGAAGCCTCACTGCCCTGCCACTCTCTGTGAAAACATGCCCATATTGTAAATCTGGTTCACCTGTCAAAACTCCTCCTCTACCCAAAGGCTGCTCAGTCATTCACAGCCTGGGCTAGGAATTGGTGGAATATCCACCTGATCAGGCAAAATATGGGCAAGCCTCATTTTGGCAGTTCCTACTTCCTAAGGGCTTGGCTTTGCCAACTTATCCTCACAGGTCAGGTTCTGTGCATCTCAGCTGGGAACATCACAGATACATACTGAAAATCATGACAAACTGTGCCAAGGGATGTGCCTGCTCTTGTGCTCATGTGTGAGAGATGATTTAATATGGCTGTATCTATATCTAATTTAATGAGATTGCATATCTGACAATGAACGAACATTTTATACATGTTGCTGTATAAAATCCTCCAGTCAGAAACCAGCAATTCCACTGAATGCACTGCTGAGATAAATGGACAAATCCATAAGGAAATACCAGCTCACCTTTAGTGGCACTCTGCCTTAAAGACTGGTCAGCCAACTCTCTAGCCAGGTGTCTCTTCTGCTGCCTGGAAAATAGAAGTGTTGTTGACACCTCATGTACCATGTTTAGAAAGCTGCAAGTCGTGGATACCCCTGCTGTACGAACACAATTTCTGAATCTGTTTTTCTCTCTGCTCCCAATTCCAAGTAACAGGCAGCAGAGTGTCACCAAAATACTCACACCTCAGCAGAAAGGAATTGCACCCACACAGATTGCAGTGAATAGACTGCCACTGCAGTAGCATCAGATCTGCTGGCAGGAGAGCTGGATATTGTAATGTGGTTTGGATCAGGATTTTATGTGAAAGAGGACAGGTGCCCACAAGATCAAGAAAACAGCTGATATTCAAGAATATTTTCACTATTCTTGAGTAGCTTCCTATGAATCTGACAGTGGTTTGGTGTGTGCTCTGTACATAGTAGGAGGCACTTGCACCCTCAGATTGTGAAGGATTTTTGAGGAGACCAACAGTTTACTTCCAGCTGTACTGGTTTAGTTTTCCTTTTCCCTGTGGCTTAGACTTTCCCTGGAGGCTTAAACTCTTGCACAAGCTTTGGGTCTCCTGCTAAACAGCCTAAAAACTTGCAGAGTTCTTGTGTGTGACTCTGGAAACTGTAATCCAAACAGTTCAAAACGGAAATACAAACACCAGCTTTGTTTCAGTGCCAGAGGTACAAGCTACACCCAAGTACTGTCCCTTCCCGCAGCTGTGGGGTTTTTTGGCTCTACCTGTCTCTAGATAGTTCGTCTGTCAGCACTGGAATTAACATTTCACTCAGCACATGCCTTGCACCTCCTTGTGCAGCCTGGCAATACAGGAGCCGGGAGGGACCAGAGAGAGTCAGAACTTCTGGTGCCTAAAGCAAAGGTTTTTCTTCTTTCATCCCTCTCCCTGCGGTTTCTTAATGCTCCTTTTCCCCTCAAAGCTTCCTGTTCATTACACAGACCTGATCCCCAGTTCTCCCAGTACCTCCCACTTTGCTCCTTTGACAGCAGCATGTTGGCTTCAGAGCCGGGGGATTCCTGGGTGCTGACAGCTCTGGGAAGGCTGCTGGCATCCTCGAGCCTCTTCCTCTCCTTCAAGATGAACTCATAGAGCTCTCGGCTGCCCTGGCAGCAGAACCTCTGCAAGGCGAGAGGGCGGAGCCGTGAGCGCGGCCGCCCCGCAGCACAGCCCCGCTCGCCCTCCCCGCCGGCTTACGCCTGCCTGGTCCTCGGGGAGAGCCCCGTCCTCGGGGAAGGGGAACGGCCTCAGCAGGCTGCCGCAGTACTCGCACGTTGGTTCAGCATCCTCCTCTGCCTGCAGCGATGGCGGGGAGAGCGGGGAGGGGGACATGGGTACCAGCCCCAGATCCCCCGTGAGCGGTGAAGATGCGACAGATGTGACAAAGCACCTAAGGGCACTCAGACAGACCCATGTCTGGGATACCTTGGAATGATTTAACTCACAACATTAGGTTCAGGAAACCACCAAAAAGAATAGCAGATGTGTTGTGAATAAATCAATAAATGCCCCCAAACAAAGGGAATGACTGGTATTTGTGAGTTCTGCTCCTTCCCAGGGAAGCTGCGAGCACAGAACACTGCAGCTGAGGATTTGAATGCATTACAGAGAGAAAAACTCCATTGGTGGGAGTTTCCGAGGAAGCACCAGCAGGCTTGGTGACACAGAGCTGGTCACATCTGACCAGATGCAAACCAGGTTGGCAGCATGCTGTGTTTTGAGGCTGGGTACTGGATATCCTGAAACAAAACTCCCTCCTCGTGCTCCCCACCTCGTGCCTCGAATTAACTCTTTGGTGACTTTGCTCTGCTAAGGGTTACCGGGAACTCTGTGCCCTGCTTCTATTCGGTGTCTGTACCTATTTATATACATTTTGTACCTGATTTAGACAAAATATTCTGCTGGGATGCAGCAGTGGGGAGAGGCTGCACAGCCTCTTGCTGTCCAGGCTGTTTCAACAGCCTCGCAGCAGAAAAACCTGTCATGAAGGGGCTCCTCTGCGGGCTCGGCAGAGGGCGTTGGTTCCACGTTTTCCACACGGCACCGTGTGAATGAAGCATCGGGGAGCGGCCCCCCAACTGACCTCGTGGTGCACGTTTGCCTGTGATGACTCGGGTCTGTAGGCCAGGAGGGTGGGCAGGCCCGTGGGGGTGGGCTGCGGGCTGGCCGGTGGTGTCCCGCACGGCGGCTGTGCCGGGTGGTTCGTGCCCTTCTCGGGGGGCGGGAGCGAGCGGGGCTCGCCTGCCTCATGCTGTGCTCCATCGTCCGCCCCTCCGCCGGGCGCCGCGGCGAGGCCCAGCCCGTCCATGCCCGGCCCGCTGCGCCGCCGTCTCCAGGGCGACGCCGCGGCCGCGGGGCACGCCGGGACCGCGCGGCGGCG